AATTTGCAATATAATGTGTGGTCAAAAATGACTCTTAAATTGACAACAGAACAGAACGTTTTCTTATTTGACTGTTCACAAACACTGTGTGTCTCAAATGTCAAGCTGTTAATACAAAAAAGTTACTTCCTCGACAGTGTCAATTCTGCGTGAAGGAAAATTTTCAAAATATTTTTTCTACCGTGCGAATAAATAAATGTGTCACTTAGAAAAGTTCAAACTTTGCAAAACAAGTTTTTCTGTTTTGTAATGGTACCAGAATTAATCTAAATAGCTTTAATAATTACTAATTTTTTATTAAAAATTAATTAATTTGTAATATACTAGGTGATCAAAAATGACTTTTGAGTTGGCAACAGAATTAAGAACGTTTTCTTATTTGGCTGTTTTACGAATACTGTGTGTCTCAAATGTCAAGTTGTTACTACAACTAGAATTAAAATTCAGCATTGCTAATTCAAATAGTAATTGTTGGTCACTCAATGTTTCTTGCGTTAGATAGTTTATCTGATTTTAAAAGTATTCAAACATGGCTTATTCACTCTTAAAAATTATTTAAAATAATAATTAAATTAAAGTTTTTATTGTAAGCACTAGTGGATAAAGTACATTATGCACAAACAAATCTTCAAGCTTGTATTTTTCTAAAATTATTATTTCGGTGCAAAATGAAAGTAACTGCAATAAATAAAAATTCTTCGAACGTCACGAATTTTAAATTGTGTCTTTTTTGGAATGTTTGCAACAAATAACAAATACATAATAAAAATGTATCTCAGTATCCAAATTTTATAAAAAAAATACAAAAAATTCTAAAGTAGATATTGGAATAATGTGGCTCCTTATTAGCTCTTAATTGTGGATATTTTAGTGTTTTAACAAAAACTAATGCCGCTATTAGCCTTGAATCTCTAATTATTGTTAGTATAGCATTCACAGAAAATTGCTTTTTTTGCTCAAAGTTTCATCCTGACGCGTAAAAGAATGAACTTGATCCTCAAAACGTGATATTGTCATAGCTTTCGTCAGAGAGTGAGTTAAATATTTAATGAAATGAGGTAATAAGAGAAAATATTAAAATGTGTTTAACAAACGAAACGACCTTCCTGGTAAAAACTACCTATTTTTACTTTGGTCACTCTTTCGTAAAACGAAGGAAATAACCTCAACCTTCGCACTTTTTCAACTAAAAGTGAAATGAAGTGAAGGCGCCAAAAAGTTATGGTGTTGTGAGCTACACTTGCAAATAAATAAGGAATTTTTCCAATTTTTTTCGAGAAATTAGTTTGAAAAATTAAGTCTGCAAAAGTACGTAAATTCCGCGCCGGATGTGTAACATCAAGGTTGTAAATATCAGATTTCATGGTTGCTTCTGAAAGTAAAATTGCTCTTCTTCTGTAAAAAATCAAAGAAAGTGAGCGCTTTTTGAACATAATTAACAAATTTAACAATTTAGGTGTTAATTTTTTCTGTTAACAGTTTGCTACTTTTCCTCCAACGAAGCATAAAAATGTGGCACATCACGACATATGCTCATCACGTTTTTTCTAATTTTTATTGCCACATCTAATATTTAAATACTCGTTTAAATCGCCTCAGGTAAATCTAAAGTGCATTGGTTGTTACGCGAGATTTAAACTTGCTTTTTGAGATAGCCGTTTCCACAGCTTAAGTATTGATAAATATATCCGAAACCAATAGAAAGTGTTTATAAATTATTCGAAATAGAAATTTCAGATGCAAGATACACATTTTTCCTTGTTTAAACGATATATTTTCAACCTTCTTAAATAGGTGTGTGTTGCTAAGTCATTGACATAGTTTGTAGATTAAATAAAAATTGATAAATTAGAAGAGAAAAATGGTGAGTAATTAGTAAAATATCGTAAATTTGTTTAAAACTAGTTTGTTTTGTTTCCTTGGCCCAATAAATTGAGTTGTTAGCAGACTGGATTAATTTCCAACTGGAAATAATTTATCACAGTATTGTCACTAATTTAAAAAAATAAAAATCGTCGTGTGGCATACTCTACCGCTGTAACAGTTTGGAGAGAAAGGTACGTGCCAAGGAAAACGTGCCATTTGCATAAAATTTATATTAGGAGTAAATATTTCACGTAAAATTTTGTCGTTGCTTCCGAAAACCTCCAAGTCTAATGAACTGAAACAGCAACATGCAAGCATATAGCATAAATTTCTGTAGGAAGCAACTACAATAATTACCTCCAATTATGCAGTTAGTGAACAACTCCTACGGGAGCAAAAACCCTCTACTATTAATCAAGCGACTGACGTTACGAGTATTTTTCCAAAGGAATAAATTGCGTCAGAGTTCTTTATTTATCTAAACCTTATTGATTCCGATGTCATTATCTTATGTAATTACCATTATTGCGGAAACGTGTAAGAAGACAATCGCAGTGAAATTATTACGCCATTAGCAAAATATTGTAAAATGGAACGGGGGAATTACTGAGGGCATTATTACTGTTAAAAGCAGCATGCGGTAGAGTTTGCGATGATTTGGATTGATTGGATTGCAATTTGTTAATGTATTATTAATAAATGTCATTCTATTTTACAGTTGTTTAGTTAATCAATAAATGCAGAACCACGTAATATCGAGTGTAAATATTTTTCCAACTGATTAGATCAATTTTTAAATAGGTGTTGCAAGTAGAAATCGACAGTGTCAATTCTGCGTGAAGGAAAATTTTCAAAAAATTTTTTCTACCGAGCAAATAAATAAATGTGTCACTTAGAAAAGTTCAAACTTTGCAAAACAAGTTTTTCTATTTTTCTGTTTTACAATGGTACCATACAAAAAAATAAAACCACAAAAATTCTTTTTGGAATACCGATATCGCATCTTTGATAATTACTAATTTTTTATTAAAAATTAATTAATTTGTAATATTCTGGGTGGTCAAAAATGAATTTTGAGTTGGCAACAGAATTAAGAACGTTTTCTTATTTGGCTGTTTTACGAATACTGATGTGTGTCTCAAATGTCAAGTTGTTACTACAAAAGTTACTTCCTTTTAGAATTAAAATTTAGTATTGCTATTTCAAATAGCAATTCTCGATCACCCAATGTGTCTTGTGTTAAATAGTTTGTATGATTTTAAAAGCTTTTGAATTTAAACATGACTTATTTACTCTTAAAAATTAGTTAAATATTCATTTTTAAATAATTTTAAAAATATATGAATATACTTCTACAATAATTTACAATTCAACACAAAATATTGTTTTTTTAAACAACTTATCAACAATTTTAAGATAAAAATTATTAAATTTTTGCCAAACACTAATAAAAACACAAGCAACAAAGTGACATATTATTTATTATCTTTCGGCATTCTACGAAAAAGTGCTGTTTTAGGGCAAGTTTAACTACAGATATCTAACAAATTGTAAAAGATACGTCTATATTTTTTTTTATACAGTCCCCAGATTGAGTTTAAAAAAGGAAAACATTTTTTGCTTTACCTGAAACGAGCAAATCTGTAATGATATAACTTTCCTCTTGTAAACTCAATCCGGGGACATACTGTATGTTAATGTTGACATATTTTACTAAACATTTACCAAATTTTATTAATGTACATACATAAACATATTACTGACATAAAAAATCGTAAAGATTCTTTGTTTTGAGCATTTCATGGAAATTTTGTATTGATTTATATTCTTTTAATAACCTAATTTACCAGCAAGAAAGTTTTTAAATTCGTTGAAACATGCATTTTTCAGATATGCTGATACGTATTTAGAAAAAGTTGGCCGTTTCTGACATTTTTTCTATTAATTTTAATAACAATTTTTCAAAATGAAATTTTCTAAATTAGTTTTAATTCCCATATCAAAAATCCATCAATAACTCCGGAATTATAGATCGAACTCCCTTAGGTTAAAGTCCTTTTTAGATTCCATTTTATAAAAAAGATCGTAGATTTTCAACAAAACGAGAAAGTTGCTGATAATAGCAAAAACATTATTATTAGTTGACAAAAATTTACAAAATGTGCGGTGTTAAATTCGCTCAAAGTTATGGCAGAGATTTTTTGTGATAACTCCTTTTGTTTCGCTGTAATCGTCGAGTTTCAAAGTTCAAAACTTCAATCTACAAACCCCACAAAAAATAAAAACCATAAAAAGCTACTTTTAATTGTCTTTGGGTTAAATGACGTCACAAATCGTTTATAACAAATTATTTTTGATCACCGTCCTATATTGAAATGTCATTCACTGTCCTCTTAATCACTCAACCAACGGTGAAAATAGTGATTATCGCAGGTTAGCAACAAATTAAATTGCTTTGCTCGCACCTCGTCAAAAGCTGCCAATTTCGTTTAAACTTAATTTACATACTTGTGTGTTATTTTGCGACAAATGTGGGCTCACTTAACCAATTATCAAAATGACCACGATGACATTTGACCAGATCTGATACGACCTTCAGGTATTAAATGAAAGCCGGCCCAGCTTTGATTTCTACCCGGAGTTCAATGCATCTATTAAGGAGATAACACGTATTTTGATATTTCTTGTCAATTAGAAAGTGTGCGCAAACAGTTGCATTATGTGTTTTGTCATTGATTTGCGGGTACGGTTTCTAATCCAGCATTGAAGTTTCCAAGGCGATTTGCAATTTCTTCAAAATTCAAATGAAAATTGAATTTTCAAATGGTCACGGTCGATTTATCGGCGGGCAAGAGACGTTTGCCATGGACAAACTGATTAGTCATCGGTCATTGAGCACACTATAACATCCTGTTAGGTACGGTCTGAATACAGCAGGGCTCAGACCTCTCGAGGTCGCAAAATTTTGCACCAGGGACGAAAATATTTGAAATTTTGCTGCAGTGAAAGTACAAAGTTTCCAATTTTGCATACACTTAGCCCATCATAATTGCACAAATTTGAATTTAACATTAGTTTAATTTAGTTTCTCAATTACCAGGTGACAGCTAATATAATTATCGAGTGCAACCTACCTGTTGAAATAATAGAAGGACACTATATCATGTTACAAAGTCTTGCACTTATGCACTGTAGAAGAATTTTGGTGTTCCACACCCTAGTCTTCGACTTGTATAGGGTGCACCTGCAAGAAGATAACACATAAATTAATTAAAATTGTAAATCATTTTTTACTGAAAGAAAAGTTTAATTCAAATTAAAAGTGAACGTAAGCAGCAAGTAAAAGTTTGAAACGAGTTACTAATTTGCCATTTGCACATTTAGTACTTCTTCTCTGGAGTTTAATCAGGAATGGTTGCTTCCGTATGGACTTTCAAGTCAAAATTTATGATAATTTGAGTGCAAGCTAGCTTCTTTAAATTCGACTTAATTAGTGATGGTGAAATATGGGGCTTTCAAACTCAAACAGTGCTTTATCTGTGTTGTGTGAACGAGTCTTTTCTACTTTTAAAATATATTGTTAGATGACCTTTACAACAGTAAATTTATTCAAGTAAGAACAAAAGGATTGCTTTCGATAATCATAATTAAAAAATATGAAAAGACATTTTGCTTAATTAATTGGCCGTTGGTGGGAGAAGATTTGGCAATTAGAGAAGCTTTTAATGCATGAATGAAGATAAACAAGAATTTGCACAGATGTGAAAAGACAATAAGACCCACAAGATAAGTCGAATAATAAGTTACAAAATCGAGGAGTTCTTGGTATGTGTGTTACAAACAAGAAAGGTAATTAGGTCTTATTAGGTTTAGTTTTACGACACTATAGAGAACGAAATCGTTTGAAAAATGCAGTTATGTAAACATTACACAAGTGAAAAATCCACCTTGGGGTGTTTTTTTAGTTGATTTGGTAAAATTGCAAAGTGACATGTGATGACCCACCATTAATCGTTGTGACGCGAAATCCTCCCGGATGCTGTAAATATTGCACACATTCACTTTTTACAGTTTTATTTTAAAAAATGTTTCAAGTTTTTGTTCTTTGTTAACAATCCATTTAGTAGCACTGTGGTGTAGTAAGGCACTCGGTGTTACGAACCACTTGTTACCGGTTTATTGTCGATTGCTTACTGAGGGTACATGACGAAGAGAACCACAGGTAACGCCGGTTCACCTGTTTGAATGCAAGGTGGGGCAACACACTGTAGCGTGGATACGTGGTCCGAAATTTGTTGACCAGTGGATGGGAAACGTTGCAATTTTGGGACACTAATGGCCCTAAAACACCATTAATAAGTATATATAAAAAAACAATTCTTTGTTACTTTTTTCTTTAAAAAAATTGTGGCTTTTTATTAAAAAAAAGGTTTGTGTTTTCTGTAACCGTCTTAGGTGAAAGAGTTTTTTAGCAAAACTGAAATAATTACGTTATTTGTTTTATGACGGTAGAAATACATATTTTAAACTTTATTGTTTTTATAATTTTATCAGACAAATGCTAAAGATTGGAAAATTGCCTCGAAAATCTTGGTGTAAAGAACAATTTTTATATTTATCTGATTGAAGAATTAAAGTTGCTAATGTTTGTAAAACTTAATTTCGTGACAGAAACTGCATAAAAGAAACCTATTAAAATTTTACTTTTCCAAATATAAACTTTTTAAAGACTTTGTAACTGTAATAATTAAAAAAAAAAAACTTTAACCAGAAATGATCCAGACTGTATTTTATAGAAAAAACTTTGATTTTTTGCTAATATAAGAGTTTCCTATAATTTTTTGAAAAATATTTCGTTATAAAAATGTAAACAATAATAGTACATGAAACAGTAAAAAATACAGTTCTTGATTTCCATGGATTGTTTCTGTTATAGAATTTTTTTAATAGTATAGCTTTTGTGGAGAAAGGTCCTAAATTTAATTTTTGGTTAAGAACTTGTCCAGAATATCTTTAAATAAATAAATTGATTCTTATTCTACTTAAATATTTTTTTTCTGAAAAAAATAAACGTGACAGTGAAAGTTCTAAATTTTATCACAGTGTGAATTTTATTGTAATTGATTTGTATTTGGCAAAAATAATCTTAAATAGGTTAATTCTAAACACAATTTTTATTGTGTTTGTTGTCCTGGCCTAAAATATCAATTTGTTGTCAAAACAATGTTTTATTATTAATTAAGCAATGTGTTAAAAATAACTTTAAATTTGAAATAAGTGCAGAATTTTTCTCAACTTTAGTGACATAAAAAATGCTTTTTCGGTATCTACTTCGTTTAATCATTTTATTTCATACGTCCGTTAGTAATAAATAATAGTTAATTGCAACTATTTCTTTTACAACTTTTTAAATCCGTTTCAATAAATTCACTTTTATGCATATTATAAAGCACATTAAATTGAATTACAATCAATACAAGATTACGAAACACATTTTCTTTGAATGTTTGTTATAGTTTGATAAGCTGGACAAGCATTGGTAGGTTTAATAAAAGTCAGGTCAAATTTTTTTTAGCATTTGCATGACGATAAGCAAAAATCGAAACGATTTATTTAAATAAAATTCTTACCACAATCAAATACATTTTTACACGATCATAATGCTCAGTAAGTTTTCATTTAAATAAAGATAATTGTTGCTATCTTTATTCCTAAAAGGTTAAACGTTTAATATTGAAAGTAATTTCTAGATTTGCATTTTTATAGTCATAAAAACATACTTAATAGTATATAAGTGCATAAGAAAAATTTGTTTATAAGTCTAGGTTAAAAGAACTAACATCTAGAAACGTCGCACAATACATTGCGGTGTAATTATTTTTTATGTAACAATAATATTAAAAGTTTTGTGGTTTCATTAAAAAATCTAATTGACATAACCACATAACGTACGCCCGTATAATTTTAATTGGATTAAACATAATAGTCCTAATTAGCGAAATTTTATATCACGGGTTGTAGAAAAACTGGTTATTTAATACTAGACTGGACTTTTTAAGACGGCAAACGTCTTTGATAAAATCACAAAGCTCTCCTTCTTTTAAAGTTTATTTTGGACCCACACTTCCGGTGTTTTATGTATAACAGGTAGAATTTGAAATAAGCTGTCAAATGAGGGAGGATTTCAGTACGGAAATGAAACGATTTTAGGCATTTATAAAACTCAAACTTAATTAAAAAAAAATTAACATAACATTGCCGGAGGTGGGTCATTGTAGTCTCAAATATTTTAATGCAATTTAGAAATTTCGTAAAGTGAAATTTGTTATATAACAAATATTTTTATAAATTGCTGCATTCTTGTACTAGTGCAAACCGATATTAGAAAAAGTGTCACAATTTGGTGTAATAACAGTAATTGAAAAATACCATTTTTGTTAACTTTTTAAAGAAGTGTTATTGCCATACATTTATTTCGCAACACAAATGAAAGATTTTACTTTATGCCATGCTTGATTGGCTATATTTTGCAACGTAATTCTTCATAATAACTGATTCTTCAGACAGATCTAGGAGAATAATTAAAAGTCTTTAGATCGAAATTCTCTTTTACTAATTTTTGTAATTTCTTGATTTTAAACTGTATACACCTACTGTACATTTCTATTGACAAAATGAAATAAAATGAAGAATAATTATCCATAACAATCTTAGTTAAAGATTCGTTATGTGTAATTAACTTAAATGGCGAAGCAACCAAGCATGGAGATCACAATCTGAAACGGACTAGAAGAATCGTTTTGGCGATGTATTGTTCTGTTGAAATATATCTGTTATTAATGTCAACATTTAATTCTCAATCAGTTAATTTTTTCTGGAAATTCGTACGGTTTTGTGTCACGACTTTTATCTAATTAAGCGATTAAATTGCAGTTTTGTTTTCTTCAATTTTAGCAAAATCACTAATTGCATCTTATTATAATAAATCAAATTCTTGTTATACGTTAACCTATCTGCAGGCACGACACCGTGAGATCGGTGTAATTGCTGTATAAGCATGAAATTAAACAGTTGTTGCACTTGTATAGTAGTTATTTGCAGCTAATGAAGTATTTATTGCCTAATAATATCTGTATTTTAGGTTTATTACAATTAACCGATTGTTTAGTGAATTCTTTGATTTTCGATAATTGTATTTAGAAATAAAATAGGTATTGTCATTGAGTTTGAAACATTCTCACTTTTGATAGTAATAGTAATATTTTTTTCAAATAAGGAATAAATCAGTAATAGACAATAATTAAATCTTTGCAATAACATTCAACTCTCAAGGTTTCCGCAAAGTTTTTCTTGTAATTAATCTTCAGAAATACAATATTTATTTATAGTTGGCATCAATGATCCTTCCTTTTAATGATGATTTCTTAATTAAGTGAAAATAAATTTAGTCTCAATAACTTATTTTGTGGTCATTTTTATTTTTAAAGTGTGAATATACGTTTTACTCACTTTCTTACTATTAATTTTGATTGTTGACGCAGTTGATTGACCAACAATGTTGCATTCTTGGAGAAACATTTGCTAAAAATTCCAGATATGTAGTTTATACTCATAGTGAATTTTTAACTCATATTTTCTCCTCTGTCTTAGGCAACTCATATTACAACTATAATTTTCTCTCAAAACTCAGTTATAACAAAAAACGCAGTAACCTGAAACTAACTGAAAAATTTAGATAGGAATAAGATTGTTAAAAATAACACAAGGGTGTTTTTTGAACTGGTCTTAGGTAAAAATGGGAATTAAGAGGAATGCACTATGAAAGAGGCAAATATTTTTTGTTAAAATTAATTTGGCAAATAAAATTCAAGTCTAAAAATAAAATAGTTTATTTGTATACAATGATACATTTCCTGATCTGCAATAACTTATGTTGTATTATACAAATGGAGTCTTACAACGTATTAAATTATGTTCACTATTTATAAAATTTACAAAAATTAAAACCATTTACTATATTGTCCTCGAGTACATGATTAAAACACAAACATTTAAGCAACCCCTGCCAAATACGACGTAGTGGCCCCATTTTGATCAACAGTACCATAACTGTAACTATACCTTCCAAAAGTCAAACTATTTGCCTCTCTTTTAGGCCAAGCTTGACTCTTGTAACTATTACAGGCGATCAAACTGTTCATTGCTGGTGGCCGACTCTTCTCGATCGAAATTCCATTACCCACCGATCTTATACTGAAATTAACAAACCCAAAAATAAATCAAACTTTGCCAAAATTAATAACATTGTACCTTTTCACACTTTCGGTAACACTGGCTTGTTGCGACTTTGTATAACTAGTATCGACATCCCTATTAGCCACGAGTTTCTCTTCTTTAAGTTCAACATAAATCTGTGGCCGTCTTGTGAAGATTAAATAGAGAGAAACTGCGAAAGCAATGAAGAGGTGGATGGCCACTATGAACATTGATGCATTTCTGAAACCAATGTTGTCGTAGAGAATTCCACTAATGGAAGGGCCGATAAAAGCCCCAAGTGCGAAAGTGCTGGTCCAAAGACCTGAGATTAGGCCAAAAGTTTCAAGATTATTTGGAAAACCGTGGGCCCTAAAAACCGAATTATCACAAGAAAAAGTTATAATCTTGTTACCTACACAGTGGTTCTAAGGGCGTCAGTGAAGGAGGCGACCAATTGGGCTGCTATCCCCAATCCATGCAACACCAGGCCCAAAATAGTGATCCACAACTTCCTGAAAAACCTTGTAACAAATTCTGATTAAAACAGAAAAGTTTCTTACGTTTGGACAGGTATGAATGGGGCTGGCCCCACTAGAGTGAATCCTGCAGCCACGAGTAGAGTCCCTAAAACTGTTATCACCTTCGGGGGGCAAAATTTATCACAGAGCATTCCAAAACCGGGGGCTGTGACTGCATAAGTGCCCCCGTTTATTACAAACATCAACCCCAAAATAACTGGGGATAAGTAAAATTGGCGCAAATGCGGTTCGAGGGTTGCTTGTAGAAATCCAATCGACATGCTGGTAACAATAATACTTCCACAAGATAAAAGAACTCCTGGTATTTTCACAGCTTTGAACATTGAGGCTACAAGGAGGTGTTACAAGGGGCAAAGCTTTGTATTGTATATTTACACTCACGTCCTTTATCTCTGTCTGTCCCATCTTCGTGTCTTGGTAAAACAAAGGCTGTTAAAATGGCCGACATAAAAAGGGCTGAGCCCATTACAGCGAAAGGAAGAGTGTAGCCCCCGACTTGGTAAAGGGCGCCTCCGACAGTCGGACCTACGATAAGTCCCAACCCGAAAAATGTCTCCAAAGAGGCCTAAAATCTTTGTTTTGATTTTGATTTTATAAATTGTGGAGTCCTTACAAAAGTTAAAGCAACGTTGTTTGGAAATTCTTTAGCAATGATGGCAAAACTGGCTGTGAGAAACGCAGCATTGCCCATAGCCTCGATAATCCTTATAATAAAACTCAAAATGATGAAAGGATAATGACCCTCGATTTTATCTAAGAGTCTGGAATTTAAATGTAGCAAATTGGAATTTTTGTAATGAGACAATACCCGAACAAAATGGCACAAATTCCGGTCGTGTAGATCCCTCCATTGAAAGTCACTTTAGGGCCTATTTTATTCAAGTGTTGTCCATAAACCGGACTTATTACAAAAACGATTAATTCGAAAATACCAAAGACAAGACCGTATTCGGTCGCTGTGCAGCCTTTACGTTCCGCCTGGAATTTTTTTTATGTTTGTTCTTGTGTTGAATTTTTTTTAAACTTACTTCCGCTGGATAGAAGGGCGCTTGTAGTGAGACACAAATGGCATTGCAAAAGTCTGCTATTCCGATAACAATCAAAGTAAGCCACTGTCGTCTTGTGAACTGCACCATTTTAACTGAAGACTGACACTCGATTTATCAGTTTTTTGCACACAAAAACAAACGTCTTATTTTGTCACAAATTCAGATAGAAGTAGGATAGTTCGACGAGTATGAGATAGTTATTGTAGAAGAAAACCCGATTTACCATATTGCCAAAAGTGGCATTGTCACAAACCAACTCGACTCACACTTTTTCCACTGAAGAATTTGAACGCAAAATTCGATTTGGTTCCATCGGACACTTAAAGGAGGAGCCAAGTCTCATCAGTTCAAAGTTTACAGAGTTTATCACTATTGCCATGATTATGATAAATAGTATGTTTTCACTTTTGAATAAAAATTTGATTTTATTGGACCTGTTGGACCATCTTGTAAGAGGAAATTAATTAACCGACGCGCATTTTGTCAGTTTTTCATCAACAACTTTGATACGTGTTATCCAAATTTATTGAATATTAATTGAATTTAGTGATTGAATCAACAAAGAGAATCATTCAAAACAAGATCGGTATGCAGTGAGAATCCTACAAATGAGTTTAAATAAAGCTGAAACAACAAAATGTTTAAATATGGCTCTTGTTTCTTACTAATGACGGTTATCAAAGAACAATATTTGTATTTTTAATAGACAATCACAAATGTTTTAGTTCAAAGTTCGTTTACTCTTTTCTTCATTGTTGCGCCTAAAAGGATTTACAACTTTTTTTTCAAATCGGCGACCCACTAATTTGGACTGAATTATAAACAAGTGATTAAAAAAAGAGGACGAGGTTGGACCATGAAGTCATCTCAAATTTGAAAGAAGTAATTGTTATGCATTTCTTATCTAATCGATGCCAAACTTCTAATGTGGCTTGAAATTTTATTGAAAATAACTAATGCCAACATAAATTTAGCAAAAAATCGTTATTACGTTTTCTATGTTGATAGTTCCATAAAGGTAGACATTTTGCAACAACTCAGTAAAATTCCAGTTTTAAGTTTACACTTTTAATCTAATAAAATATTTTATTTACCGATTTATAGCTTATGCATGACCCTTACCACCTTAAGAATAAAATGACGCAATTTATTAAAAATTTACTACACCAGTGATTTGATAACTATTTTTGTTCTACCTCGTGACATTTCTGTAAAACAAAATTTTTCTATATAAAAAGTGGAGTCTGTTGGATCTAAACTTGTCAGTAGAGTCAGTCCATTTATAATACGGTTTTGTTTTTACATAATATACATATTGTAAAGAGAAAAAAGTTATACTTATGCAGGGAGGTTTGTTAAAAATAATATTTCTCTTAATACAAATTTATATTAACAACAATTCTTTATTCAATGTAAAAACGTATATTTTTTTAAAATAATAAACACATAAGAAAGAACAGTTTTAAAAAAACATATTTTTTTTTTAAATTCACATTTAAATCTTATTCAAGATCTTAATTTTAGTTCTGAAAGTCTGAAAATGAAATTATAAAAAATACGTTTTGAAATTATTCTCAAAATTTATACTCTAGGCACAAGTTGCAACTAATAAAATTAAAATTATAGTTATTAATTTTAACATTGACTTTATTGTGATTTTAATAGTAAATTTGAAAAACAAAAAGAAAGTTTTGGAGCACTAATTTTTTTGTTTCATTTTTCAAATCATTTTTGTTCAAATATTCGAATGTTTTTGCTTTTTGAAGATTCAGTTTTTGCCTTACATTCATATTGTTAATACTAAAGATGATCTTAAATTGTTAACTAATTTTTGTTTGTTGTAACATAAAAAATTGGGCCTCTCTTATGTAAATCACAGACACATATCACTAAATTCTTTATCAGCAGGTCATTGGCATTATTCTGAAAATTCAGTTAAAGACATTTTACGCGCTCGTGGTTTACTATAAATACTAAAAAAAAAATGTTATTGTATTTTGTTGTATTTTTAGACGTAGAGCTTCTAACTTTGATAACAGTGCTAAATCCGGATTTATGGAGTGAGAAAAATATTGAAAACTGTTTATGAAGCTCCACTGATGAAATAAAATATTTAATAGTTTGCATAAAAATAATAGAACATCTTTTTCTTGTTGTGGCCCAAATTAGAAATCTTAAATCAATTTTTTCAAAACATATTTGTGCTCAAATGGAGAAGAAGCGATTTTTGATAACTTCAATTTAATTAATATTTTGATAAATTATTGCTGATATAAGTCAATAAAATTGTTTGTTAATTTATAATTTGAAATAGGTCTTGTTATGTAAATTACGGTATGAAAGTTCTCACATTAGAAATTGTTAAAGGAAAATCCAAAGATGTAAAAACAAGTGTAAAGTATTTACACATCGATAGCAATCTATTGTCTTCTTTAATATTTTGATTTAGTTGAATTAAATTGACCTTTTGATTAAACACAGGGGTTATTCTAATCGGTAAAATTATCGCAAATATTATGCGAACTTAAACACATGGTGTTTTACATGAATTTTAGTCATTCTTGGTGTAGGTTATTAACAATAATTAGCTTCGCCGTTAATTAAATTATACCAAGAATCAACTATGACGTAATTCATCTCACTGTCGCCTCTTTTTTTCTATTGCTCATTATTTTGTAACGTTTATTGCAGTTTAATATCAAAAAATATTAATAATTTAATCAAAATGTGATAAATGATTATGTGTTTTGTCTTGACTGACGCAGATAATTTTGAAAGGACATTCAAAGTTAAGGTTAAACAATTTTATGACAAATTGAAAACATGATTAATATCTAAACATTTTTGTTTGAAAAAGTGTAAGTAAAAACAGCAGTTTAAGTGTTTTATTTTTATTATAAACAATTTGTCCAAAAAAGAACATATTTTACAAAAATTGTATGTACAATATTAGAGAGCCACTGGGCTTAAATCGTTTAGTTCTAAATGGCGATTTTTGAAAAATTGCCAATAGATCAATTTGTAAAAACAACTAAATTAACTACGATGAAAAACGCCTAAGCGTCAGGCAACCAAACTTTCAGTGGTAATTTTAAAAACGCACTGTTCAAGAACCCTTTGAAATGTTTAGCTATTGCTGCATTTGCCGCTGGCTTCATTTCAGCAATAATCTCGTTTGCGTTGCTGTTCAAAAACTGATTCATGGCTTCACCTGTAATTAATTAATTTTTAATTAAACAAATAAACAATTTGACACTTACCAATAATATTGCCATGGTTGATAATATCCCTGACTCTAAACCTACTCTTCTGCAACCTGAAATCGATCAATAATTTTTCAATCTTCATAAATCGGGTATTCGTCGTGTCTTTAAACTCTTTTCCGTAGATTTTTGCAGCGGCATCCACATCGACTAAAATTTAAAATAGCTTGTAACACAGTTGAGTAACATTTACTGGAATTAAAGTCCCGATTGCCTAATTATTGAAATATGCAAATTCGAGCATTGTCCTGAATTCACAATTTTTCAGTTACACAATTGGAAAAAAACTTACGAAAAATGGCCCAAAAGTCGCCTTTCGACCTCACTGGAAACAAGAGAACGTTTCCGTTTACTTCATATTTTCCTTTGATTTCAACTCGGGGCAATTTGAACCCCAACTCGATATTATAATTCACGACATCAGCTCTGAAAATCACACATTATGATGTTAATTAGTCGCTACTGGATTAAAATTCGCGTGAAGTACCGAACGTGGAGTAAAACATTACAACTGTCATTGTAATCAATTTTGTATTCAGTACCTTGATGGCCTTGACATACAAATAAAACCGATTACTTTACACGTAAAAAAATGTGGAAATAGATTTTATTGCACTTCATTTCGGTCTCTTACTTTATTTTGGTGATGGTGTAATTGCTGCCACCGGAAGCTGTGACATTGTGGAAGAGGGCACGGATTCTTAACGCTCCTTGACCATTTTCCATCACCAGCTTATCAATTTTTAAAGGATCGATGCTAGGTACATTTATGTCTTGGATTCCTGATAATAAATAGGGCCTAAGGTGGTTGAATGTGCGTTGGAGGCATTTGTTGATTTCGGGGTCGGCTTTGTAACATGGGATGATGTATTCAGCTAAAAAGATAGCAATTTTACTTAAAATTTGCAAGCAATTTATAATTTGCAACTCTAGAAAAAGTTATCTGCGATTGTTCACGTGTATAACTGTGTAATAACTAATTTGTAGTTACGTTAAATTATTCTCGTGTAATATAATGCAACATTCCTACAATGTTGTTTATTTCCTAACGCTGCTGTTTTTCCCTTGATTGAAGAATTGTGTGATATGATCTCTTTGCAAAAGCGCAAATGAACATTTTGTCATTTGTGGGATACAAAAATGTGAAATTAGTAAAAACGTTTGTGAAATCATGAAGTAGAGTAATTCAGGAACAAGAAAAATATTGTTGAGCAACGATTTTGAAAATGTGTTCAAGGGCGTTGGTAATAAGTGTTTAAGAATTATTTCCTTATTACGGAACTCTTATATTCGCGTTTTTTATTTCTGAATCAATATTTTGAAATTTCCGAATATTTTTAGTCTCACTGTATTTTCTACCGCATCTTTTCCCCGGGTGTTTTAATTTTAATCCAATAAAGACCGACATGTGGAGCACATTGTAACAAATTATAATTTTCAAGTTCGTCTATTTATTGTCATTTCACAAATATTTTCATTGCTGTCTATTTACTGACACTGAATTACTTCACAGAACCTAGAGTTGCGGTTTAAATTTTAATTACTTATTATTTTATATTTAGATAAAATTTCATTTTAGTCGCATGCTATACAGGATTTCTTCTATAGAAATTAACATAACTTTTACCACTTTTGGCCACGTGGTATTCCATTTAGCTCCTATCAAGTTTTTTTGTTATTAATTTATCAAGAAGCTTAAAATTCAAGACTCAAAAAGGCAATTTAACTCATATTTACGTAAAAAAGAAAAATGTGTCAGAATGTTAGAATCTATTAACACTGATTTTTTAATTAATTAAAGTAGGTAAAAAAATAAAAAAGTACCAAGACTGATTTTTTTATTAAATCATAATTCACATTAGAAATGTATGATAACTTTTGAATATTGATATTGACATCATTTAGTTTATGTGAATAATTTTTTAATGAAAAAGATAAAAACAATAGGATCGTCATTGAGTTATTCTCACGTTTCGTACATAAGACTCGTTTCATAGAACTATTGTTACAGTTTGTAAACACGTTAACACGTTTTGTATATTGACAAACAATTAAAATAATAAATACTGAATTAATTAAATATGTTTAATACTCACTTAATTGACTAATAATACAGAAAATTTATTGTTGAGTAATACAGTGGCAGACACGGAATTTTGGACATCAAATTTTTATGTCAGTTCAAAAAATGTCAATGTAAGCCACTCTTTATTGTCATTAGATTGACGTTTGGAACTAAAATTTGAAAGTTTTAGTTGAAATTTATTTTTGGCGTCGATTTTTCGAAACAATAATGCCTCAGCAATACGTGTTTTTATATAAATTTAATAAATTATTTTGATTTGTTGTCATTTTTTCTCTAGCTATCAGGATAAAAATTACAAAAACCGAAAATGAGGTTAATTGGCCCGTTTACATTTTTATGTCAATCGAATGACAAATCGTCCAGAATTCCGTGTCCGCCAGTGTAATAATCCATCTTAAGAGAAATTTTAGTATTTTTTTTTTTAATTACAAGTAAATTAAATATCAGTAATTCAAGTGAACTTTGTCCATAATTACCCGATTAAATTATCATAATTTTTTCCCTAACTGTGAGTTTTCTAATGTGCTAGTCCATTAACTTGTAACAAAATGAAACAGTTAGGTACATTACTATTAGCATTTTTTTTTCTTTATTACAAGTATACAGAATGCGTCAGTACTCGTTCCCCAGAGAAAAATTTCAAGTAAGATAAGATACCCGGAACATGAAAAAAAATGTTTAAGAAATTCTATCTGTCAAAAATTTTTGGCATTTGACATTCTTTATGTCTCTTTAATGACACTGATGATCTTGTATATGTATTTTTTTATAATTATTTAGTAAAGGTACAAAAATTTTACCAATAAAATCCACAAAAAACATTAAACTGAGTTACAATTTAAGATACAGCTTCCTTGTTTCCTCTTCTGATAGCCTGTAGCAAAAAAACTTGAAAAATTTATTGCAAAATTTAAACTCTTATAGTTTCAACATTTTTATAGATTGAATTTTTTAAATATTATTTCTATGTTCTTGATATCTTACCTTACATAACATTTTTCTCTAGGGCGCGAGTACAATTTGAGAAATTTTTAATAAAAAATAAAGTTTACACATTTTTTGTTATTCATAGAAATCAATGAAATCATGAATGAGTTTATAACTGAAAACTCTTTTTTTTTCACGTTATCATTGTTAAATTCTAGAACAATGATTGTTATTCAATCTTTTCAGTGATACATGTAATTAAAATAGAATTGCATGCCATTGAAACTAAGGCATTGGCGGAAAAAAGTGTGTCTTCCTCATATATTAAGAGTAAATATTATCTAATATCGTTGGCCACTGATAGTGAAAGTATGACAATGAGCAATCATCGTGCTTTCTCCATTAGATGTTAAATTACGCGTTAAAAAAGGATGGGACGAAAAATACGTCAACTAGACGGAACTTGGTATACATTTAAAATCCGCGGAAATTATATAACGGTTGCATAATTGCAAAATGAGACCGTGACATACCTCGAAGCAGAACTTGAAAGATCTTCATATAGTGAGTCGTATAGCAAGTTACGTTTCGATCAATTTCTTCGTAGATCGAACTTTCTTTGAGTGTTGGATTATGTCACTTGTTATTTAAATTGTTACATCATTGGTCTCGGTATTATCCTGTCTATAATTTTTTGCAAAATTAAAAGGACGTTGATAAATTGCAAAATGTTCAAATAGGAAATGTCTGTTTTCTGGAAATGACGAGTTCGGTTTCGACATTTTTGTATGTAGCTACTCGCGATTCGCATTAAGTAACAATTTGGGTTACACGCTGTACCGTAATGTCACAGAGAAATTATTGTTAAAATTACATTATATGTTCAAGTTATTGTGTGGTGATTATGAGAGTATGCTTTGTTAACAAATGCTGCAATTAATCGTTGTGATTCCTGGTTTTTATAACCAATTATAAAGATACAAAAACGTATTATTTTACATGAAAAATTGATAATTTTTTTAATCAACTCCAAATAAAAATGTAACGACGTATAACGTTGATTTCTTGCATTAACAAGCATTAAAGGTAATGTTATAATAATTACACTCAACATTAACCTTAGCAATTGATTGCTAATGCTAATAGTAAAACCATGCAAATACAGGGTGTTTTAGATCTCGCGCCCTAGAGAAAAAAGCTATGTAGGTATAATAAGTTACCAGGAACATGAAAAAACTATTAAAAAATTGTATCTCTAGAAATTTTAAAATTATGGGAGTTTTTCATGTTCCTGGTATTTTATCGTATTTAGAACACTTCTCTGAGGCGCGAGTTCTAAAACATCCTGTATGTGTTGTGACGAGAATTGTATCAGGATGATTTTTCCATTTTATGTAAAAAAAACTATTTATATACCAAGGGCATTATTGGATGTTATCGAAAGTATAGCTTGCGAATACACCGTATCTTGGAAAATAACTACAATTTATTTTATGACATAGCAATTGTTTATTTATTATTATTATTAAAAATATTTTGCACCATCTGAATTCAAAAATTCTTGATAAAAAAAAGTATACAATTGAAATCCTTCTTATAATTTTTTTGGTTTTATTTACATTTTCATTTGATAATGAAAAAATTTTTCGTCCTAATGCATTTATATGACCAGAAAGAACATTGCATTCTAAAGTGCAAGGCTGTTATCCCAAAAATTTGAAATAAAAAATAAAATAAAATTTGTCTTCATTAAATAACATTTTTTTTGCAACATTCATTTGTGTGCTAAAATAAATAATCAATGAGTAAATTTGAATCTTTGGAAAGTTGGCAGGATGTTAATGACCATTCATGAACTGAATTTTCGACACTGATACCAACTTTTATTAAATCTATAACAATAATTTTTTATTTAAAAAATATAAAGTGCAACAAATTTAGATAGTTAATAGTTGAAAACAATATACTATTTGTGAGCTGAAGTGGAATGATTATTACACACATAGAAATATATACATACATATTATATGCCATCAACTTCAATCTCAATTTTTAAACGAATTTAAAATCGCATAATTTTTTTACAATTAAAATTTGCACAAAATTAAGAAAAAGCATAGGTATGGATTTGAGAGTTTCTAAAAAAAGCTTCAAAACCATTAAGCTAATGTGTTAAAAAAAATATGTTTTTTAGGAATAATATTCTTTCTTTAATTTTTATTTTTGTAAAAGTAAATTTCAATAGGTATATACTGAAAAAAAGTAAGAAAATCATTTGTACTGCTTCCTCTTTGTAAGGATTATTAATATTACAAATAGACAAAGAGTAGATTTTATTTAGAAAACATAATAATAATAAATAATTAATTTATCGTATTTATTAGTCACTGCAATCTAATGTGCTCACAAGAGAATTTGAAATTTATAAATCTATTAAATAAATTATTGAAAAAGTCGGACTTAGTAATAATTATTCTTTAATATTTATGAGATATTTAATTTTGCATTGCAGCTATTATCATTTCGAAATAACTTCTCTTTCCAAGCGGAAAAAACTCATTTACACCTTGAGATTGATAAAGACAGTTATAATTATTTAGACATCTGGAAAAATGAAATATTAATTAAAAAATGTATTGCAGAATTGGATTGCCAAATTTTTGAAAGAACAAAATTACCAATTGCTTTCAAACATCATTAACATTGTCCAGTGAGGGTTTTATTCTTTAAATACGAATACCCTAATTGTTTTTATTTTTCCATTTCATAATAAGTAGCAATTAGTTTCTTATTAATCTTCGATAACAATGCTTTCTAATATCTAATTCACTCGTTTACCTTAAGCTTTTTAGATGCAGGAGGCAAAACCTTGCGCATTTTCCGCATATGAATAAAAATTCAACTTACGTGTTTTGAAAGTTTCATTTTTTTCCGCAGCATTCGTCACTTGGAATAAAACAATCGAGATGAATGTAAATAATCGCAACATTTTTCTTATCACAATGTGTTACTGCACTGGTTAATTATTTGTGATTACTTGTCGTTCATTATTTAGTATTTAGAGTCGTGGAGAAAGCATGTGTACCTTTGAGTTTTATACGGGGGTTTGCTTTTGGAAGGGGTCTCTGTAGTCGCGGCAGGACCTTTGCCGGCTCATTCTTCGGGTAGGGATAACAACAAAGAGTACCACCCATGTGTTACATGGCAATATAAACAATTTGTATGCGTTGTGCAATGAGGATGTCAGAAAGAGTTTATTGATGAAATCTCGCTAAGGTCATAATTGACTATTAGCAAAGAGTTTAGTGGTTTTGTTGACTCGAAATTCTATAAGGAAGTCTAATTGGATTATTTTTAGCTTGAGCTGATAATAATATTAAAATGAAGTTATTTAACATTCGAAAACTTTACATTTGTTATCATTTATTAATTATTTTGTCAAGAAATTAAATTCTTACTCTCCATACGTGCACTACATTTTTATCATTCTTAAGTTTCAAGGATTTGAATGGTCAATGTTTTGTTTCAAACTCAATTCACATTGTTTATTTTAATTCAAGTGTAGTATTATTATTTACTGATAAACTATCACGAAGAGTTATAAAATAACAATTTTCGTGACGACAATATTATATCACTTGTTGCATATTTTTTAAAGTGTTCAATAAAAATATGTCGTTTTGCTTATATTGCAATAAACGAATGAAAGTGACATTTTTTTGAAAAAAATTGTAAGAATTAGAATTGAAAATAAAAATCCGAAAGAAGTTATTGCATTCGATGCCAATTTGTATTAACAAACCTTGTCAATAAATCTGACACATAGTCAAAAAAGAATTTTGTCTCGAATTAATTTTAAAAGTCTTATTACATTACATGTTCAATTTATTCCAGAGCTACTGTTAAATATTATATTAATTTTTTATCATAAGAAAGATTAATTAAGAATATTAATTAATTAATTAATTATTTTGTCATTTATTATTGTTTAAACTCTGGAGTTTTATCCATTTTTTTTACTTGATAAAAATTATTATTTTTGTTTGTGATTTCGTATAATACTTATAAGTTATACAACCAACCTTTAAATATACAGTTTTGTTCATTGCATACATTAATTATTAAGACTTTTTAGTATTGATTATAAAACCAAAAATACTTATCTGAATATTTGTCGGTGTTGCATTGTGTAGTTTTAAATCTCAGTATTAAATTACCGTTTGTTTAGTTTTTTATTATCTTTTGAGACAAATCTAAGATTTTGTCACATTTTGTCACTCGTTTTTTTCCTTCCTAGGTTTCTTATAAAGGAATTTATACGAAAAATAATTTTATTTGGCGAACATGGAATTTATTGACAAAAAATTTGATTTTTGATTTGCCATCATTAAATGAATTTCTCTAACAATATGGAAATATTTTTTTTCTTCGAAAGAAGGATCCAAATAAAGAACTCAAGAAAAAAAAAGGAAAAAAACTTGATAATGTTTTTGAGGAAAGATAAAAATTAGTTCCAAAAATGCAGAAAAAAATGAAGAATGTCTTGCTTCATTTTCCGAGTTTATTTTTTTGAAGGAAGAAAAAAATATAAACGATAACTTTGATCAATTTGCCTTGAAGGTGACAGTTGAAAAGACTGAAGAGAACGAATAAGTTACATCCTCACTTTTTAACAATTTAATAGTTTTTTTACGACTCTAACAGAATGTAAGCTTTTCCACGCTGATTTCAGAAAGGAAAGTGGCCAATTACGAGTATGTACCTCTCTCATCTGTCAAAATTACATAAATAATATATGCAACCTCTCAGGGAGGTAAAAATTTTACCACCTTCATAGAAACGAAAAAACCTGCCTTCTGCTAGATCTAATGGCGAAACTGTTATTCCTTGAAGTTTTTCTTGCTGAATCGTAGAAAAAATTATATGTACTACACTGGAGAAAAGCGACTTTTTGTTCCTGGTTGTTTTTCACCTGCGGGAGGTTACACTTTCCTTCCTTGAAATATAAATAACTATTATTATCGTTGAGACATGTTTCGGTAATTGCTATCAACAGCTAAAAATTTTTGAAAAATGGCATTAAATATTAAAATTAAATTTGAAACCAAATTAGGTAGAGAAATAGAACTAATACGTAATTTTATCAAAACTTGTTATTTATAAGTTATGGAAAGGGTAGTGAAACTGACCCTTTAACAAACTTTTAATAAATTACAAACCTTATAGTTTGAGGCAGCCAAAGTTTCAACTTCCTGTTTTGGTGCTCGAAAAATTTTATGGTTTACTTTTAGGAATTCACAGTTATTTCAAAAAAGCTAAATATTTATTAGAAAGTAGTAAATTAGGCTTTAATTGACGGAAAAATAAATGATTTAAGAGCATAATTACATCTGGGAGACTAAACCTGAACCGAAATAGTAAAAAATTAACAATAATAATTGTTTTGTCAATTTAAAATTGTTACAAACTGTGTATTAAACTTAAAAATTATGAAAAGAGTATTAACGTTTGGTTTCTTGCATTAACAAGCATTTAAAATATAATGTTATAATAATAATTACACTCAACATTAGCCTTAGCAATTGATTGCTAATGGTAAAACCACGTAAATATGTTATGACAAGAATTGTATCAGGATGATTTTTTACATTTTATATAAACAAAATTGTTATCTATGTTGTTATCTATCTACCAATGGCATTAGTAGATATTATTGGAAGTATGAAGTGAATACACTGTACCGTCAGAAACAACAAATATAGTGCTCTGGGAAATAAATTGTAGCAATATTATAGCAATTATTTAAATGTAAATTGAAATGTAAAAGAATAACAAGAACTATAGTCAATATTATTATGTCAGTTTTAAATTTTTATAAATTTTGTAGGAGTATTAAACTTAAAAATATGGAAACAGTGTTATACCGCAAGGCTGCTTAATCCTCAATAAAGCTTTGCATACGTCAATCTCAAATATTCCTGGTGACGACTATATATTTTCCATTTTTCATTTATTTTAACCACTCGTCATTATTTGAGAAATAATTAAGACACTGTGGAACATCCAAATTTTTATTGTTTAAAAAAACACACAACAACGAAGCTTGTTTGGAAAATAATACACATGCTAATCAAGAAAACCTAAGATAAAGGAATTTAAAAAAATTTTGTACTGCCGATCTCGAATAGCACTAGCATTAAGTCACATCCAAACATATCACCATTAAAAATACACAAAGTACTACATTATTTCTACAATTCTATTTGCTATTTGATTCTTTTTGATACTTTTCGTACTCTTCATCACTCAAGAACCAAAGATCAGTCGGCATTTTAGTAAAAACGTTATTCATTATATCCGTGAAAATACCAGCTAAGCTATCACCAATACTATCTTTCAGCTCCCCGATTATTTCTAAGGCATTTTGATTGATAAATTGGTTAACAGTTTGACCTGAAAAGTAATACAAGTGATGATACATAATCAGCAAAATAGAAATTGCTTACCTAAAACTTTATTTCCGTTGAAAAGATTATGAAGTTTCACTTTCATTCCTCCAACTTCAAAATCGACATGCATTTTGTCAATTTTTACAATTTCGCGGCCTTCCCGAAGTGGAAAAATCACAGTCGTGATGACCTTAGTTTGTACATTTGACAGTTTAAGGTCACAGGCCCCGTGTCCCACTAAGGGCAAAACCAGGATTTTTCCTTTAAGATTGTACTGAGATTTGATACTCAATAATGGCAATTTTAGGCCAAAATTCCACGTTTTGTTAGCTTCATTAAATCTGAATACATTTTTTACAAAATCGATTTTTTAAATTATTTCTTGCTTTCTTACTCGGTGTAAGTTGGTGTGGAATTTGAAGGGCCAGACACGACTAAATCGTAGAGCCCTCCTGTAAGTGTGATAGCGCCCGAGCCCTTGCTTACGGTGACTTTGTCCAAATATAAGGGCTCAAAAGGGTCCACATTCATGTCAGGGATACCTAGAAGGAAAAATAATTAAATTTTCCACTATTAATCTGCATTTATTTATAGAAGATTGTAGAATTGAACCATGATCGATTATCTGCTACAAATAACGTCAGTAATAAGATACAAGTTTTGTTCTAATACGAATATAATACAAAATTAATAGTTTCTGAGTGATTAGTAGTTCTTGGAATGCAATGATTGATTAAACGTGCTTACCTCTTGCTAATTGTGGAAACATTTCAGTAAATAAGTCGTTAAGACATGTATTCAAATCTGGGTCGGATCTTCGGCATACTTGCAACCAGGGGGCTAAAATATTGTACAAAAAATATTATTTTGAATAATGAATATGCATTTTTAAAGGAATAAACAGTCACGATTAAGCTTAGCATCTATAAATTGTACATAATTAAATAATTTTCTTGTCAAACGTATCAATCATTTTTCTATCAAATTAAATTATTTTACTATTTTGTATTAATAAATAATTCTTTAATGATAAATAACAATGTTTTGTGACGTTTCTGCGTATTTGGTTAGAGTTATATTAATATAAAGTTATAAATTTAAACATCAACAAAATACATGTTAAAAATTAAAATATAATTTTAATTTAAAAGGGGGACGAAAAACTTGTTCTACATCTTATTAAAGAAACAAATATATGAATTTATTTTAAGCGCGTCTTGCGAATTGAATAATTCAATTTTTTTTTACTTTTTGATTCCGAACAAAGTTTTACAAAAATAAACTTGAATTTCATTTTTGAAAGTCAAATTAAGAAAAATGGACTGTTCTCAGAACTCAAAATTTTAAAAATAATTCGTAATAATCTCAGGAAACGATAATTTAATGGAGAAAACGACCTCGAGATTTTGACATTGCTTAAAGACAACGAATTCAGAAAAAAAACTAGTCTTAAAATTGGCGGTTTATTTTTATCCTTAGCCTCAATTAAAGTTTTAAGAACTGAACTTCTTTAATAAATTTGCACAGACATTACGGAAGTTATAAAAAAAATTAACCGGAACTCTATGATTAATCAACAACAAAATTTCCTTTAATATTTATTTATGCGCAGAGATTTTAATGGCAGATGTTATGTGCAGCTAAAAATAAACAAAAAAAACATTATTATTATTACTATTGCAATACATCATAATTATGAATATTTTTTTCTCTTACAATAATAAAAATTTTAATTAAGTTTTAATGAACAATTGAATATTTGGACTTGCTTTTCCACAAAATTGTCTAATTTTATTAAAATAAGACAAAAGTAAATTTCTTCCTGTTCAGAAAATTTCGGAAATTTATTTATAATTCGAAAATGCAGAGGTATTTAATGTAAAGTAATTAATAATAATTGATAGTAAACGTTATTTCTTAATCAAAATTACTCTTTTTGGAGTTCATTAACTGCATGTGCTAATTATTATCGTTTCTAATTGAAACGAATTGATAAGTGAACGAAGTTTCCAAACTTAAAAAATATATATGTGAAAGCGTAGCTGAATTTTGTTTTCTAGTAATGTAGTGTTGTTTTTTTTTGCTTTAAAAATAGAAGGATTTAAAAAATGTAACAAAATTTTTACGCTGTATGGATGGTCGAGCAAGGCTGTGTGAACTTGAGTGAAATGGTAATTTATCCGTACAAATAAAATGAATAAAATATAGTACTTACGTCTCTTGGTGAGAAGGGGAGCATCCTTGACTTGATAACTGGAGACTTTCGTATGAAAATAACACAGAATCGTTGCGAAAATGTAATAGTGAAACATGGTAGTTCCAAGAGACCCTGTTGGTAATCACAAAAACCCGTAACCGAATGAGTTCGTATTTTCATGTTTAGTACTGCAAATTGACTTCACCCCATCCTATTCTGAATTAGAATTAAAGCAAAACGAGCCAATATGATACTTCTTGCCTTAATCTTTAAGGAGGGTATTGCATCACTGCCAGGTGAAAGTGGAAACAAGACATTTCTCTTGGCAGGAATGCGCTATATTACGTATTACATTATTTCTTAGATATTGGTAGATAATTACATATTTTCTGGAGTAAATTAAGTACTTTGAATTATTCACATAAAATAATTACAAAAACGTGATGTTTTGGGTCAATTCTGGATTTGGAACAGGAATTGATTCGTGATGATTTATTAAATTCGGAAGCACGTCTTTAGATAAAAACTTGTTTTTATCACACTTTTGACGTGCTTAGAGTTTTTGTATTTCCTTAATTTGCGTCGTCTACTTTCTCCTATTATCAAAAATATGTTGATGTGTTATTACATAACTTGAATATATTACGTCAAGGCTACATAAAATAAACATTAGCACATCTGAAGAAGTGAAGAATTGTCCCAATATTTAAACACCGGTTGCGGTACAAAAAAACACCAACAAATCGTAAGAATTTATTCATTTTAAGTAATAAATCATTTGGGTAAAAGTAGATTTAAAGGATACTTGTGGTAAATTTTGTTCGAGAACTTTTTAAAAATGCTGGCAATTGTGTCTTCTAGAACAGGTTTGATCTCATTTGCGACATTTTTCCAATTGTCGTTCAAAAACAAATTCATTGCCTCACCTGAAACGAGCCGAGTTTAAGCAATCTAACAATAATCAATAGATTTAAATTTCTACAACCTACTTGGAAGTGATTGCAACTTAAGCACTAAAAAATTGTGAAAAAAATTTCAGTTGCAAGTCACAAAACGTCGTTAAGTGTGCTTGATTTGCCAATGACATCATTGTAGAGGAAATGATGAGAATAAATGACAAAAGTCAAGTCATTTTGTGGAACATATACTTTTTTTAATTAGTACTTACCCAATTCTTTGTCACCATTGAAGAGATCGTCGAGCTGAATTGTCGCATGTCCGATGTTAAAGTCCACGTAAAAATCTTTTATGTTGAAGTAGGTTTCATTGTCTTTGTGGACTCTCTGGCCTTGCATAATGACGGTGGCGTCGATATTTGCTGAAGAAATGGTAAGAAAATATATTAATTAATAATTACTGTGTTTGTTGGATTACCACAAACATCTATGTATAAACACGATTTGCGTCAGAAATCGTGTAATAGCAACTATTTCTTATGTTTCAGTATTATTACCAATATTATGCAATAAACACTAAATTAAAATATAGGACGGGATGTTTTATCGCTAGTTTCGGATTTTTTTCAAAGCAGTTACAAACCTGTTGAACTGGATTTTTACTTAATTTCGAGCACCGGAGCAAATCCAAAGATTGTTAATGAACGAATAAAACAAAAAGTAAGAGAATTTTGAAAGAGTAAAAATGTCTTTTGCTGTGCAAAATTCGGTTGAAAAAAAAAAGAAAAAGAACCAATACAAATTTAAGACATACCTACTTTATTAATTAATTTGGGTTAATAGTTATTTGTATTACAAGGAGAAGAGTGTATCTTTTCCTCCCACAGGTGGAAGTTACTGTTTCTCTTGATATTCCAGTTTTGCCATTAAATTATCAGCATGTTTTTTCTGTGAGGCTTGTAGGAAAAAAGGTTTCCAGAAATTAATTAATTTCTTTTTTATTTTTGAAAAAGTAAATCTCGTATATTACCTATTTTTTCATGGTTTTTATTGTTTTTGTAACAGACGCAGGTGAGTGGAAAAAGCTGTTAAATTACAAACATGTTAATTTTAATTGTATAATTATGACACTGTCATTATTATTTTTTCATCTGCAAAATTGGACTATATTTTTGTGTTTTCATTGTTTTAATTTGAACTAAAAATTAAAAATAATTATAAACAGCTTTTGTCTTTTTTGTCATAATTTTAATTATAAGTTTTTGGTTTCTAAACAATTAACAATCTTAACGACAATTTAGTGAGTTTTATGTCATCACAGTGAAGTTATATGAAATTTTTTAAAATTATTTAATTTGTTTTGATTTAAAATAATTGTCCTGCCTCATTAGGAATTTAATAATTGAAAGAAGAAATAATAAATGTAGTGGGCTACAAATTTATAAAATATTTTAAACAAGTTAGTCCAGTCCAATCAAGGACGATTAAATAAGTGTCCTTGGTTTTTTCATAAGATTTCTTGGTGTGTCCCCATTAAAAGTTACCAAAGAAAGTTAACGTTCTCAAGAATTTTTGTTCTTCTCCTAAATTTTTTGGTGATTTTTGAAAGGCTGTAACTCATCGAAAAATGGTCGTATCTAGATTTAAAAAAAAAACATTTTGAAGCTTTAAGTTTCTAGTTTTGAGATCTTTTGGCAAATATTTTTTTGTGCTACGGTTATCACGCATTTTTAAGTAATAGCGCGAGAAAAACAATCTAAATTTTTATGTTTTTGGTCTACGGACGTGGGGAATTTGTTTTTAGTTAAGTCAATGCATAGGCTGTATAGCATATTTAATATGCCTTTTTCATATTCTCTTTACGTTAATTTGTCGCTGAGATATTTGGCTTTAAATGAAAAAGGATCCTCTTGTCTTTGATCATCGATATCTCAGCAACCAATGACCCCACAGAGAATATAAGGGTAGTGTCAAAAACTGGAATAAATGTCATACCATATCTCTTACGATTTTTTAGAAAATATTTTTTTTTCACCTTTAACATTGGTTTACAGAAAAGAGAAAAAAGTAAGTTTCTACGTTGTTTTATTAAATCTACCGCGTGTTCACTATTGATGTTTTTAGGTCTTTTTACAGCTTAATGTCCTTCCATACTCCTGTAAATTTTTAAATCGATCCATCAAACCGTTTTCTCGGACCGATTGATCAAAGTTTTGCAGGAACAATTGTACACATTGTTTTTGAACACCATCTAATCTTCGTCAAGATGAGAACAAGATTTTTTCTCAGCTTTCTTTTATAATTTTGCATTAGTTAAATTTGAAAAAAAAAAAAAATTCGAAAGATCTCTGAAAAAAATGTTTGCTTTTTTTTTAATTAATCAGTAAGTATTGTTTTTTGAACTTTTTTACAAAGAACAAAAAAATTAAGCAGTTCATTGTTTCTTAAATGTTTTTACAAATTTTCAAAAAAATTATCAATAAACAAATTTTGCTTATTTTTTTATTTTTAGCAAATAACTAATGCAAAACAAGTCAAAAATAGTTTTTTTCATTTTGATGAAGATTAAGCACACAATATGTGCAAGTGTTCCTTTAATTCTATTGCAAAATTTTGATCAATCGGTCCGTTATTACTTAGAAGTTATTACTTATTATTTAGAAGATAACCGTAGAAAAAATATTTGCCAAAAGATTTCAAAATTCGAAACTTAAAGCTTAAAAATAGTTTTTTTGTTAAACTAGATTCGACCATTTTTCGATGAGTTACAGCCTTTCAAAAATCACCAAAAAAATTGAAATTTTTTTTTGTTCCTTTAATTTTTTGGAGTAGTATAGATCTAAGCTTTTGTTAATTTCATAATTCTTTCTTTATAAATTTCAATAAATCTGATGAATTTGATCCAATTTCTCCAAGGCGATTAAATGAACCCTTTCAATTTCAATAAATATGTATGTTCGGGCGGTCCTCTGTACCTGCCACCCTTATAGGGTGGGGGTTGTAATACATTTTATCTGTATCTGACGAACAAGCGTACGAGCAACACGTATCCTAAAATATAAGTAATAGTTATAGCAAACAGTTTTTCATTATTATCAACATTTGGTCCTTCGAGCAAACAATTCAAGACAAAACGGGTACCCACTAAACAACGCGTCCCAACAATGTACAAAAAAACGGTAAAAAGGTAAAATAATCTCACAATAATTTCCTCGGCTAGTCCCTGTGCCAGAAATGGGCATCATCAGAATTCGTCCTTCCATCGTATATTTGCTTGTCAATTCCAAACGTGGCAACCACAATTTTATCCTTATTCTGTCTCTTTCCATATCAATTCTACAATACATTTAATTTAATTCATCCATACCAAGTTTCTTCCGATTAAACCTACTTTACATATTTGAGTACAAACTTGGAAGGTCCATAAACTTTAATATCTCGATAAGTTGACCTGACAGCTACAGCTCCAGAACCTTGATCGATGACCACTTCTGGTATACAGAGTGGTTCACAACTCGGTATATCAAATTCTGGAATTCCTCTAGCTAGAAGTGGACGCAAATTCTCGACAGAATTTTTTATACAGTCGTTTAGATTGGGATCGGAACGGCGACATACTTTTATAAATGAAGCTAGAAATATTCAATTTATAATTAGTGTAATCAAGATAAATACGACTTACGCAATTTTGGTTTTCCTCGAACTATGTTGAAAACCGCAAAGTTGTAAATAACAAAAATAATCAGTTTTTTATTACACATGGTGGTTAACAATGAAGGAAAAATATACAGTCTAATAAGTGTGTTAGAAATGTGTTAATAATTTCGAAGTCAGCAAATTTGATGGCATACATTGGCTCTTCCAATGGCTTATGCAATATTTGTATTTTATGTACTAAACAATATGTAATAAAGTTGTGAAAAAAATAATTTTTTAACTGTAATTTAATTCATCCAGAAATTCTAGAAAATTTAGAAGTTAGAAAGGAAAACTTCAAGAGCAGAATGAGTTTTCAACGCTTAAAACATATTTTATGTTAAAATTAAACTTTCGTTGAAAATTAATCCATTATTGAAAAGAGCATATACCTGCTTCACTGGGCAACCCTTCAGCTTTAGGAGTCGATTTTAAATAAATATACTAAACTTTTTCTTGGGAAGTTTCCGTGCTTACATTTTTTCGTAATTAATTTAAGTAATAACTTTAATTCTGCTGTGTTTCCACAAAAAAATTAATTTATTTTCTTATCATAAATAAAAATTAAAATTTGTAGTTATACTGTATGTCCCTCCAAAATTGCAGTGCAGTGAAAAGAAAAGTTAATTTTTCTCTTGATTTTTGAGTCTTATCACATTGGCGGTTTTATTTATTTGACAACTATATGTCACTGTGATAAATAATTTATTAATTAAATAATAATAGTTCTTGTTAGTTCTTTGTTTTTTATCTTAAAGCTGCTTCTTTGAGTTGCT